CTGACATTCCCTTACACACTTACTGATCTCTCCTTCCCCTTTGGCTCATGACCAGCTGTAAGACCATAAGAGTGGAGGACTGCAGGATGAACCAATTGATTGTGTTCTGAAAAGCTTCCTCACATTTCAGTCTGCCTCTGTCTACCCTAAACAATTTTTATGGATGAGGGTTTAGCACTACATCCAAAGCCTGGTAGATCTATTTTTAAACAAACAGGTCTATGGCCTTCCCTGACCCATCAACTTCCATGTTTTGTTCAGGCAACTTGAAAGTGACCAAAGCCTCCCTCTCCGGCACTGCCCATCCATCTAATCACCCAAGCCAGTCCCATGACACATAAAGATGATTGGTGCTTATTTTATTTTTTTTCTGTAGCATGCAATGCTTGAGGAAAAGGAGATGCAGCCAGTGGGAGTTAGCCATTGTTGCCCTATACCGACCCTGAAAGAGACCCAGTCTCCAGACTCATCAGTGAGGGAGAAGAGAGTGTATATGTTCAAGCAGCACTAATTTTGCAGCATACTTTACTATCAACTCAAGGATGGGAGAAATGTCCATTATTGTGGCCATGAGGAAAAGCCCTAAATTTTAAAAATAATCCTGCTGCATTGCTCAATATTCAACGTGGCCTTCATTTCATTCTCTCATTCTATGGACTCTGAAGACAACATTCTATGATTCTTCATGGCAGGGTTGGCCTCTTGTCCATTGCAAATAGAAAGTCATAATTCTGAGCCTCTAGTGGACTAGGAAGCTTTATTCTATCAATGTCTATCAAAGAAATTTATGTTCTGCACACAATACTTCTGTGTCTCATGCTCTTTGCTTATATTTTTATATGGTAGCTGGGCACTGTATGAAAATAATTTAAAATACAGCAAGGTTGATACTAAGCAGTTGTAAACCACTGAACTTACTTGTTCAAGATATTTGATTTCCATTGTTTACATATGTAAAAACTTTAGTCCTAAAATAACTTGAGAGGGATGGGAGAGAAACTTAGGAAATGTTAATTAAAGGGTCAGTGGGTCAGGATTATCAAGAGCTGAGGAAATCATTACCAACTGGTGACCTGAGCACTATTTCTTGTGAGCATCTCATTGAATTGAATATGACTTATGGGTAGGTAAACAATTTATGATCTTGTTGATGATAAACTTCAGAACCTGAGGCACTTGGTGAACTCTCTCACCTCTAGAAAACAAAAGAGGATTTTTCTGTTTGAAAATGATGCCCTGTACAGTTCAAGATTCTTGAACTGTACAGCAAGATATTCAGCAGATTGTGAGTTTACTCTTCAAAGAACTTGCAAAATCACAAATATGCATGGATATCACAGTATCATTTTTGACTTATTCAAGGCTAGCACAACAAAGCAACTTAAAAATCATCTCATGGCTGTTGGCCCTATGCAATATTTTTGCAGCCCTTATATATATATGTTCCTTATGAGATTGCAAATGTGCATTGCATATTGGACCATATTGGATTATATTCTTTTGCTTTCTTTTTGATGTGTTGATTTGTCACATGCAGTTTATTTATTCTTCCTTAACAAATAATTTCTTTCAGATACCTTCTAGAAATAGTTCAATTCTATGGAGGTCATTCACATCCATACATCAGGTAGATTGCACCTCTGGTCAGCCCAATTCTCAAACTCTCTGAAAGTATACCCCACTATCTTTTATTGGGTTATAATCACAAGGAACATGGGTTCTTCAACAGGTGTTTTTTTTTTTTACTTTGTAAAAAATATACACATACATATCTATAAAAATAATTGTAATAAATGAATGCATATTCTATGTCAAGTATAACTGAAACTGAATACAATAGGACATCTACAAAATTTAATTCTAATGTCAAACAATAAGCACTCTTCTGAGCAGATACACCTTAATAATCCAATTTTTAAAATGTGAGCATTTCTTGAGTACATTGTGGTCTATGCTTGAAACAACTGCTATTACTGTCCCTGAATGCCCTTTGCTTTAAGTCTAAATCTCAAACTATGGGACTCTTAAGAATCATACGTCTTTGTCTCATTCAAAATTACAACTGAGTGATAACTTTTGAAGAAATCTGGGGGAGGTGCTCAAAGTTTTAGAGACCAATGTAATTCCAGGCTTATATATTATATTCTCACCTTGAGCCTATGGAAACTTGAGTCATGCTGAAAAAGGGTGGCCTTTTCATATTAACTTCATATGTCTTTTACAGATTCTGGATATAATTAATAGAGATGTGGCCCGTTACTCAGGTCAACATATCTCATCTTCATGAGAAGGGAGGAAACTCCTAAACTAAATATATTTGGAGGTTTTACTTATATTATTCCATAATAACAGATGACAAAATTGGGAACCTTTAATAGGGATACTTTTGAGCCATGTGTATTTGATTACAACTGGGTACTATACAATGTGGTTCTGTATATTAAGTTGGAAATGTTTGAAAAAGCAAGGCATTCTCTTTAAGAAAGAATGAAGGTATAGTACATTAATAATAAGAATAAGAATGAAGAAAGTGTTGGGAACATTATGAAACAGAGAAACAGGGTAGAGAAGAATGGTACAACCTCTTCAGAGTTACATGCTTATAAAAGAAAAATGAGTTCATCCAAAGTTTAATTCATTTATTGGGTTATAACCACAAGAAACATGGGGAAGGTGGTATATAGAGTACACCTTCCAATTTCTCCCCACAATAACCCTCTGAGATATGTTGAACTAAAAGAGAATAACTAGACCAAACTACTCAACTTTTCTTTCTGCTGCATTGGTTGATTGATTGGTTACGTGATATTGTTATCCAAGTTTTTACATTATTGGTACATGGCATCTGTAATTAAGTCATGTAATTACACTCCTAATTGTCTTAAGAAAACAAAACAATATTCTTAGGATATATAATTTTGACAAGCCTGTCCCCTGCTCTTTTGGAAGGGTCAGATGACTTCAGCTTGTGGATTTTAGAAGAACCCCTCCTATTCTACCATTCTACCAGCTCTTACAATACTAGACAACACATTATCAACAGTAGAGACCTTTAAGTTTCTAGGTTCTATCATATCTCAGGACCTAAAATGGACACCTAACATAAAAAAATGTCATTTAAAAAAGCACAACAAAGAATGTTCCTTCTGCATCAACTCAGAAAACTCAAGACTGCCCAAGGAGCTGCTGATACAGTTCTACAAAGGAGTTATTGAATCTGTCATTTGCACCTTTATAACAATGTGGTTTGGTACTGCAACCAAACAAGACAGATATAGACTTCATAGATAGTTAGAACTGTAGAAAAAACAATTGCTATCAGCCTGCCTTCCATTGAGGACCTACAGACCCCTCACATCCTGGACACAAACTGTTTCAACTTCTTCCCTCAAGACAATGCTATAGGGCATTGCACATCAAAGCAACTAGACAAAATGATAGTTTTTTTTCCGTATGCCATCATTCCGCTAAATAACTAATTCCCACAGCACTGTCAAACTATCTAGTAGGGCTGTATTATTATTATTTTTCTTATCTTTCCTATTACCTATTTCTTTATCTTCTTATGACTATACATTTGTTGCTTGTATCTTACGATTTGTATTGTTTTATTTAGTATCCTAGAATGATTTATGTTGATTGCTTATTAGTATCCTATGATTATTACTGAGTATTCTATCTTATGATTTATGATGAATGAATTTTATGATGATTATGATCATGATTTATCACTTGTTGCTTGTATGTACACTAAGAGTTTATGCACTGGAGACAAATTCCTTGTGTATCCAATCACACTTGGCCAAAAATGAATTCTAATTCTAATTCTAATAATTCTAATATGATGGTTTTAGTGCTATTAGGTCATAGTTGCTAGCAATGGAAAAGTCTGGTCAAGGCAAATTGACTAATATATAGCAACCTTTTCCATTTCAACTTGAAACTTTCCAGATATTCTGAGATTCTAGAATTCCCATTTGGCACAATCATCTGACACTGAATTCTGGAAACTAAGTGGAAGATGAATGCAGTTTCCTGCATTTCCTTTAGTTTACCAAAGATATTTGATGAGGCAAAGAATGCATTCACTCTGCTGCAAATGTACATCATATAGTAGATCAAATTATGAGTAATCCTATATTAATCAACTCATCTGCATAAAAAAATGATGTAACAACATTTTCCCTCAGATTTTCTCTATAAAGTAAGAATAAAACTAATATTTTCCAGAATTGATGCAAGTGCAAACATTAGATATGAATTTTTTCTCATAAAAATAATTATATTAATTTTTGTTAGTGTGAATTTTTGCTGGGGTACAATGCCAAAATATTGAGCTTCTGTACTGTGAGGAAATATTCATTTTTCTTTCAAACATCCAGAAACTCTACCCAATAAAAACAGTTTTCACTTCCTTTCGTATGAGCTGTTTCTTTGGCTCTCAACAGCAGGATATCCAAGTCCTGGAAGAGTGAAATAGGGATCTTATTACAGCAGAGCAGTCTCTGGTTATCTCTTCTCTTTCAGGCAGAATGCTGGAAAACTGTTTCACATAGATTTTAACAGTAACATGAAATTCATTAAATATGCATGTTGAAAGCTTTGTAAAACAATATAGTGTCTACTTGCCTAAGAGGGAAGGAGAAGGAAAGAGAGTAGCTAAAAAGTGTGCAGTATTGAAGACTAGCTGGTATTTTTGCCAAATGCAAACATTTTGATCGGTTCATGGCTATTAATTTTAAATTATAATTCTGAAAACCAGTGATGCTAACAGGCAGGTCTGGAATTATGGGTCTTACAAAATAAACAAAAATAAACAAGTTACCAAGAAGCAAATTAGGATTATGTCAAGTCAAGTTATAACTGTGCTAAATCAGTACAATGGGAATTATGGAAGCTGAGTTCTTAGGACTCTTAAAAGATAGATATTGGAATGACTTCTAGAGAGGTTTTTGTGAAGTGTCTTGGGTCCAGTACCCATAATTCATTGTCTTCCATAGGTGCAAGCCTGTGAAGCTTTCCTGCCATAGCAGAGCAACAACATTGTACTCTTCTGCTGAATTTCTTCCTGCAAGCCAGTTGTTAAAAGAACAGAAGCCCCAAAAGGTACATATTAAATCTTTCAATACTGCCACAGTAGCACAAAGGCTCAACTATGATTAGGCTGACAGAGAAAAGCAATCAAGTAAATAGTAGATGAGTCAAGCTACAGTGTATAATAAAATGAGTTGGAAGCAGGGGTGGGTTCTACTTACCTTTACTAGAATAGAATAGAATAGAATAGAATAGAATAGAATAGAATAGAATAGAATAGAATAGAAATATGCACCAAGACAAATACCTTGTGTATCCAATCACATTTGGCCAATAAAAATTCTATTCTATTCTATTCTATTCTATTCTATTCTATTCTATATTCTATTCTATTCTATTCTATTCTATTCTATTCTATTCTATTCTACTGGTTTGCAATGGGACTGCACGTGCTTCTGCGCATGCACAGATCGTCAATTATGATGTCTGGGTGGGTGGGCGGAGCCTTCCACCACTTTTACTACCGGTTCTAAAGAACCGGACAGAACCAGGAGCAACCCACCACTGGTTGGAAGGGACTCTGGAGCTTTTCTGCTCAAGCAAAAGATCCTACTGCCCAGTCTTTTCTTAAAAACCACCAGTGACGGAGTACCCACAACCTCTGAAGGCAAACGGTTCCACCGATTAATTGTTCTCACTGTCAGGAAATTTATTCTTAGTTCTAGGTGGGATCTCTCTTGATAAGTTTCCATCCATTACTTGCCTTCAGGTGCTTTGGTGAATAGGTTTCTTTGTGACAGTCCCTTAAATATTGGAAGAATGCTATCATGTCACCCCATGTCATGCATTATTAATTGGCCTGTCCTATTTGGGTTTGAGCAGTTCTGCATGTGTCAACAGAGTTCAATTGTTCAATGGCCATGCATTCTTCATCCTTATAAAGTGCATCATATCTTCATTCTGCCAAGTACAGAGATTTTTCATATTTTATCCAAAGGCAGATGGGAAAAGGCCATATCTGAAAGGATAATAGGAAATCCAAAACATCGAAAAGTTCCTACGATTCTTTGTTATGTGTAAAGTCAGTCATGTGGCACATATAATCCTCAGCCTGAGTAGTTGATTGTAAAGGCCTTATTCCAGATTTCTCTTACTAATTCTTCCACCCAGTTATAGAAGTTGTATCAGGGTATTTTAATACAATATTGCTATTGACTGATAATTTACATGTGAGAGAGCAAGAAATATGGGGAATCTCTATGGCAACAATTGTGCTCATTCAAGAGGCCAAAAATGTGGTAGATTGTATTTTCCCAGCTTCTATCATGCTGATTTTCAAAGCCTCTGCAAGCTTAAATGGGCAATCTGAGCTTCCTTTTGAAGTGTATTATGAAGCTGTGTGAATACCAATGGTCCTTCACCCCTGCAATTCAGTAACATTGATTTATATCATAAAGTATTTCAGGACTTTCATCCACTCATTGCTGACCATCAGTGTAGAGTTCAGTATCACTTTATCAAGTATGTCTGTGCTTTTATTTCACTAATGAAATAGCCAAATCATATACCCAGTTAACAGAGGGAATCTCTAACCTGCAGGAAAGAAATGTAGCCAACATTACATGTTTCCAAAACACAATATTGAGATCAATTAAGAAAAGTCTTAATCACTGTCAGAAATACAGGAAGAACACTTTTCATAGCAATTTTTCTTTTTGAAATAAAGTACGGTTAAAAAAGCAGTAGCTGAGGAAAATAGATTTAATAAGGAAAAAATGAAATTGCAGGCAATCCACACAAAACTTTCCAGCTCATACCAACCAGGAAGGCAAGTGGTGTGTAGGTCTTTTACCTTATGTCTTTTCTTACTGATCTTGTATGAGTCACATTATCATCTATAGGAAACAACATGAGGGCATTTTCAAAAGACCCCAGATCTTAACATCTGGATAGGTTGACATTGGGGAAGTAGTCAGTCAGATAGTCTTATATCTGTTTTTTTCAGGTCAACATAAAATTATAGCTGGGAAACTGCTGGAAATATTCATATGGTATCCTATTCCATATAGGAAACATGTATTGGTTATTTGCCAGTATAACCAAACTTGACCACATTTTGCACCAAGTAAAGCCTGTGGATATTTTTAAACATAAGTTCTTACACTATTGGTCTATTGCAGTATTCAAAATGGAAGTCAGGTATGACTTAACTCTTGAAAATCTTACTGTTTATGGAGTAGTTTCATTTGAATCACTAGATTTGATTGACTTTCTGCTTGTTATAGCTGCTACTAGCAATCTTAATATTATGAGCTGTGGTGGCGCAGTGGTTAGAATGCAGTATTGCAGGCTAACTCACTGCTCCTTGCCAGGAATTCAGTTCTGACCGGCTCAAAGTTGACTCAGCCTTCCATCCTTCTGAACCTGGTAAACCGAGGACCCAGATTGTTGGGAGCAATATGCCGACTCTGTAAACTGCTTGGAGAGGGCTGTAAAAGCACTATGAAGTGCTATATACTGTAAGTCTATTGCTATCACTTAGTAGCGACACTGACAATCAATGAAGATTCCTAGAACACAGTTCTTCAAGTTATATGTTGCCCTAACCTGCAGAAGTTGATTCTGATCTCTGAGTCTTGCTTTCTCTTAACTAACAGCACCTCCTGGATTTACGGTCAATTTATCCTCTCTTATTCATCTCATAATCAAATTTAATCTATTGTATGTTCCAGCATTTCCATAGCTTTTACTAAAACCAGAGGTAGTTTCACACTGGGGTAGCTGTCGGTGTACCAGGAATTGTGGTGTATGCATTCTACAGATAAGCGATTGTATTGGAATAGCTATAGGATCTTGAAATCAGGGATTGTCATTTGTTTGTTATATTTATATCTTATTTCAATCCTGGAAGTTAATTACTAGCTAATAAAGAAACTAAAAGTGAAATGAAAAATAATAATAAACTCTGCAGTGAAGAGAAAACCAATAAACAAACTTGGGATTTGTTTAAAAATGTTCTCACTGGAATAATTTGAAAAGTGTCCATTTGCAATTATATATCAATGTTCAAATGAATTTTAATACTTATTAAAAGCTTCTAACAAAGAACTTTTTTCAAGGTAGCATTTCGAAACTTCATGTGGTCTGCAAACCTTTGGATCGTTTAAGAAAAGAGAACCCAAGACTAGGGACTTGGGTCAATTGGCTCCTTCAATATTAAATACATTAAAGTATTATTGAAATCATATGATAATTTAACTTAAACTTAAGTTTTAAGTAAAGTTCTTTGGGATATATGTGTGTCTAACTTTGTCCAGGTATTTTTCCTGGCAGTTAGAGCAATTAAACAGTGAAACAATTAAACAGTGAAACAACTTGCCTTCAGAAGCTATGGGGGCTCCAATACTGGAGGTTTTTAAGAAGAGATTGGACAACAATTTGTCTGAAATTTGTCTGAGCAGGGGGTTGAACTAGAAGACTTCTAAGGTCTCTTCCAACTTTGTTATTCTGTTATATCTTACTGAACACAAGATGCCTCATTTTCAGTTTGCCAGCTAATCATTTAAAGCAGGGCTGTCAAACTCATGGCCCACGGGCCGGATGCGTCACATGCTGGCCACGCCCATGCCCAGTTTAGCAAAGGGAAAAAAGTCCTGATACCTCATGTGACGCTGCCGTTGCGATGCGAGTTTGACACTCCTGATTTAGAGGTTCCATACTCACGAAGAACAAGCCCATAATGATCTGAAAGGAAACCAGTGGGGCTCTTTTTACATTCTTTCAGAGTTTAGTAATAATGATATACAACTGGATAAGTGTCATGTGTAGACATATTTTCATAATGTAAGTCAAAAAAGAACAAGTGATTCTTTCATGGTTTTTGTTATGTCGCAATATTTCCATGTACTTTGGGCTGTAATTGACAACCAATGAAACCTGAAGCTGAGGAATATTATGGGGACAAAATTTGTTTTGTCAAGCGCATAGCAAGGATTTTCTGTCTTTAATCCAAAGGCTGAGTAATGTCCTGGAGTAATGTGTTTACCTCAACAGGTGCACTTAAGTATAAGAGGCATCCAAGTGAATGATGCTTTTCTTTCCATGCTCAATTTCAACATATACTAAATTGCTTTTTCCTCGAATAAGAACTATACTTTTTCCAAATCTAATGCAAACAGTAATGGCTTATATTTGCTGTGCTCTTCTCCATGAAGGATGATAAAAAAACATTGCTAAGGGAGAAAAAACATAACCCATGCTATGCTAATAATACTACTCTCATAGCTGAAAATGCAAATGAACTGGACGCTCCATAATGAAAGTCAAGTTGCAAAGTGGAAAAAATGGGACTAAGATTAAATTTAAAGAAGACTAAAACAATTTCATTTCATTTCATTTATTTATTTTGTCAAGTACATATTAGATAATATATATAAGTATAAGCATGAATTGTATACATAAAATGAATACAATTAAAGGGAACGTTAGGAAAGGGATGGTAGCACACTGGTGCTCTTATGCACGCCCCTTACAGACCTCTTAGGAATGGGGTGAGGTCAACAGTAGACAGTTTAGATTAAAGTTTTGGGGGTTTGGGGATGAGACTACAGTAGTGCATTCCAGGCATTAAAAACTCTGTAACTGAAGTAATATTTTCTGCAATCGAGTTTGGAATGGTTCACTTTAAGTTTGTATCTATTGTGTGCTCGTGTATTGTTGTGGTTGAAGCCAAAGTAGTCATTGACAGGTAGGACATTGTAGCAGATGATTTTATGAGCTATGCTTAGGTCATATCGAAGGTGGCATAGTTCTAAATTTTCTAAACCCAGAATTTCAAGTTTTGTGGCATAGGGTATTTTGTTACAAGCAGAGAATGGAGGACTCTTCTTGTGAAATATTTCTGGATGCCCTCAATTGTATTAATCTCCGATATGCAGTGTGGGTTCCAGACAGGTGAGCTGTATTTGAGAATTGGTCTAGCAAATGTTTTGTATGCTCCGTATAGTAGTGTAATATTACAATTACACTACTAACCACCCTCAAAAATGTAATGACAGTTTTAAAAGAGCCTT